AATCTGGAATAGGCGCAAACCCAGGTTGTGCCCGAAAACACCTTTGGGGGGTCTCAGCACAAGAAGCATTTTATAGACAGGAAATAATAGGGCAAACACAAATGGATAACTTATTGTGAGATACTAGAATTTTCTCAAGGGGAATATAAAATAAAATTAAGAGAATAACTGGTGACGGAGAGATATAGTTGTCAATGGTTTTGTTATCTACAGTTATTAGAAAGATTTAAAGTACACAAGAGTTTATGGTTTTGAATATTGTAAGACTGAATAGAATTATGTCCAAATGATGAACATGTAATTGCTAAAATGTATAAACTTTTATTGAAATTTGAAACAGAAGAACAAGTGAAAGAATGTATGATAAAGTGGCTAAAATTTTTAGTAACAATATACAGATGGAACAGGGTGAATATGTGGTTGAAAGGACTGAAATTTACACTATGTTATAATCGTAAAGAGAATTTTATAAAACAATGTATTGCTGGTATTTGTCACCAAAGAAATTGTCTAGAAGATATAAAGGGACTTTAAATTTATGTTGAAATGTGAACAAGAAACATTTTATCATGCTTGCTGGACAAGTAAAAAAGCTAGAAAATTTTAGATTCATATACACACACTATTCAGAGGATTTCAAAGATTAATATACAATTGGGAGCAGAGGTTTTTCTTTTGGGATTGATGGACAAACAGTTGGAAAAAAGTAATGGATCTTGGTTTTTGTATATAATTGTAGTGAGATTATTTTATGCACAAAGATGGAAAGATTTGGCATTACCCACAATGGAGGAATGGTTGGTGAAGAGGATGGAACTTGCTGAGATGGCTAAATTGACTTCTTTGATCAGAGAAAAGACAACATCTACATTTATTTCTGAGTGGAAGCCTCTTATGGACTTTAGCATAAAACAGAAAAAAATGAATGTATGATTTATGGTTTTGATGATTAGATAGGATAGGTTATAGAAAGAATAGAGTCATGTTGTAACCATAGAGTAAGAGATAAATTTGTAAGTACTTTTAACTGCTATAAAGAAGACCAGAAGCCACTTCTTTGTATCTTTTTGCTTTCTTTTCTGTTTCTTTTACTTTTTTTCTTTCTTGCACTTCCAGCTTTCTCTTTGTTTTCTCTTTTTCTTATTTTACATTACTTTGTATTAGTTTCTATCTTCCTCTTTAAAAACGTTTATATATAAAATTTTAAAAATGTAACACTAGGTGTACTATAACATATATTTTAAGAGTCATTAAGATGCTGCTATCACAATCCAAATGTATAGATTAACCTCCCCCACTTTGTGCAGCAATATTTAATGGGAATTCAGTGCCTGGTGAATGTACTGGTTTGCCTTTTTTTTTTGTTACCAAAATAGTAAATATAGGGTTATTATGTACCCCACCCTGGGATTCTTGGGGAAAAAAAAAACTTCAGGAAGGTCCTTTTATGAGATACTAATTATTTTTCTACTACCAGAATAACATTTTACTATTCAATTCAGTTTATGGGAAATAAAGCAGCAGCAATAGAACCATTAGTGTTTCAGATGGAAATCTCAGATGTTCAAAACTTCAGTTTTAGCTATACATACTGCCTCTTTTCCTCTTGCATATTTTAATTCCTCATTCCACAGTTGTTGTTGCTCTGCCTCTAATTCCTTGGTTAATTTATTTACTGTCTGTTTCAGCTCCTCTATTTCAGAATTCAGTCTCTCAATATCTGCAGTGGAATACTTCTGATTATCACAAATTAGCTTCAGTCGTATGTTTTCCTGTTTTAGTGCTTCAATTTCCAGGGCTAAAATTCAAGAAAAATAAAATCTTGTTAGGAAAATAGAAAAAAATATATATAAATATGTTTTGTTGTGGGCAATAATATTTATTTCTACCTTATTTTTTAAAATATTTAATTGCCTTGAAGCTTAATACTTACTTGGATAAAATTTCAGAATATTAGGAACTTGAACTCACAAGAAGAATCTATTAAAAGGCATGAGAAACTTACTAATAC